TAATTATTATTTACTACCCCTTCCCCGTCTCTAATGGCGCTGAGTCGTGCCCTTTTTACGGGAAGAAGAAATTGGTGCCCTTTTTATTTATTCTTCTTTCATTAACCTCTCCTACTCTCTCTCGTCGATGGCGTAGGTCTTCCACCGCTTCAAGGTCTTCTCGCAGACGTCGTCCCCTTTCCCGCTCTCAATATTCTCTAGCTGTACGTGCTCGAGGTCTTCGGCTCACTGGCCTCACTTGGCTGTCATTTTTTGAAGTGACTACCACGTTCATTGTTTTTAGTTCTCCATCCCCAGATGTGAGTAGCATAATTTTCCCAACTTCTGTAGTACATACTCGCTTATAATATGAATACTTATTTCCTAGGCTGCACAGCGCACACATTACGACCTAAACAGCTTACCTGTTAAAAAACGATTCTTAGTAACTACAGAAAGGGTAAAGATGAAAGAGAAGAAATGCCTCCAATGATAATTCAATGGAAACTGTATTATTCTTTAAGCAAAGCCTTGATGCTTCATAGCACGTAGTTCTAAAATAAGATTCAGTAAAGAAATAACATCGGCATGCTTTGGTGAAGCTAAGGAAAGGATAGCGCATTGTCTGCTTAATTGTGAAGACGGAAACACAGGGGTAGTACGTTTGATGCTCGCCTTCATGAATTCTTGGGTTCAGGGACAACATTGGCAAGCTAAAACCCCCACGATAAAAATAAGAGACAGAGTATTGGTAGCAAAAAGTAGACAGACAGATTTACATAGTTAAAAAACTGATGTCACTCTGGCGTAAGGTGCAGAAAGTTTGGGTGTGAATTTATATGTTCGTTTCCTTTTCAATGAAAAGTTTTACTTAAATCTCAACGGATAAGCCTGAATGAAATCATGTAATAAAACGTCTAGCTTGGTGGCAAACAGGTTACCGATAATATGTGTTACGTTTATAGCATACATCTAGGCAATAGCGCTTGGCTACCTTCCGGTGCTCTACACCTTTAATTTTTGTGCCATGCGCTGCACTATGTCTTATCATTGGTGCTCACACATACGCGAACGCCAGTGTTTTATCTTGTTTGGAAAGCCACTGTTTTGTAATGCATAAAAATAGAACGGCCACGAAATATGCAATCAATCTAATAGCTTAGGTCGCAGTGAACACAACGATGGGTTTAGTTACACACAATTTGTAAGAAATGAAAGAAAATTCAGAAGATTTATCGTACCTTAGGAATCAATGTTATGCGACACATGCGTATGGAAGTGACAGTGTCGTAATATTTTTATTGAACAAATCTTTACGAAGTGGCGCTGGAGATATGTACAAATGCCCTCACAGACATAAGTTAAACAGCCGAATACATTTCATATGACCAGTTGTTTACAGTTGCGTAACGATGCCAACAGCAATATAGATATGAGCAACACCAGAAGTGGTTAGCTCAGATGAACCACATGTGCCAAGGAATATGGTGGCCCTGGACACTGATAGATAAGTCAGCTTCATTGGATGGCGCTTCACAACAATTGTCGGTAACCCCCAGTGCGGCGGCTTTATGATAGGAGTACGTATGTATTATTTATAAGATTTAATAGACAACACTACAACTACATTTGATGTTTCACAAACATTACAGTCTACTTGAAGAAGAGTTCTGAGACCTGACGTGGCTCTGTGGTAGAATAGTTGATACCCACGCAAAATGTTGTGGTTCAATTTCCGCTGGAACCATAATATTTATTCTATGCGTTCGTTGAATGGTTCAACGCTGCCGATGCCAGGTTTCATAAACGGAGTGTTTTAGGGCTGACCTGGTTGGCGTCCGTATTGCCGTCAGCAGCGAAAAGACGAAAACATAAGTGTAAACAAACAACTTTATGTGTATGTACAGCAGCACGATGAATGATTACCCGCACCGTACGTCTTTCCGCCCTCTGTGCGTCCTACTATCCATTTATTCATCCACCAAACTGTCCTTCCGTGCATCCGTCCGTACATTCGTTGTTTATACAAATCAGAGACTTTAACGTAGACACTGTGGAACTTAGGACCTACTGATTCGCCGACTTGACGTCACTCATTTTGTGGAGATGTTTAAGGCTCTCGTGTTCAAATTACCATTGTTTGTTGGCACAATTGCTTCGTTGATATAAACGGTCCACTATCGTCAGTGCATTGCGCCTGACTACAATTGATCTTAACCCGACGTGACATCTATATCGTGGGTGTACATATGTAATGTTTATATAATTTAATAGCTGTCACTGCATTCACATTGGACGCTTCACGAACATTACTGTCTTTTTGAAAAGCAGTGTCGAGGACTGGGGTGGCTCTGTGGTATAATACTTGGTTGCCACCCAAAATTATAGGGTTCAGTGGAAAAAGGGACCCTGAAATTTTTTTTTTTACATTGGTCGGGTCAACGCAGCAGATGTCAGCTTTTTCTACTGCTCACACGTTCAAATTACTCATCCCTGTACGAGCTGTTCCTGGGTATATATTAATTTGGTTGTTTGGTTCTCCCTCAGAGTCTTGGCGCACCCCACCACGGGGGATCGAGGGATTGACCTTTAACGAACAGTGCCTCATTTGTGAAATCTAATTGTTTTACAAGCCAGGTTATTTAGATAGGGATGTTTAAACATAGAACCAATTGGTAAACAATAGATTAAAAATAAAATAAATCGATGTAATAAAAACCGAGCAAGCTAACATGGTTTGAAATAAAGTGAAGTTTTGCCCCAGCTTAACATTCTATTCGTTTTGTTGCCTTTAGAAAATCGCATACGGTCTCGCAAACGTTCCTGTGGCTTAATCTCCTTTCAGTGACCCCATAAGAAAGGACCACCGGAAGGGGAAAACTTAGAGACAACCTATGGAGAGGTTTTTCTAACGGTTTCTTCCCTTGATTTGCATATAACGTGCATGTTAAGAGGAAATGATGAAGAAATTCTCTCTCGCCGCAGTGGAGGCATTGGGGAGACTGTGCCAGACGAGACCTGTGTATATAAAAATTCAGGGAGCGGGGACTCAGCATCGTAGTCTCGTAATTAGTATCTCCGCCGTTCTAGAGGAGCGCCACCGATTTTTCCAGGGGCAATTAACACGAAAAAAATCAGATCTTGCCGAGCGAGATTTTTCAAAATGATCTGCTATGACAAATTTTTCAAGGGTGCCACGGTGATAACTGCTAGCGTCTCCAATACTGAAAATATGTGATAATATGTGAGGCCACTGTGAGCGTGTCTGCGTATTCATTGAGGGTTAAACTTTCATGTCCCGGTATCCACACCAAGCGAATGAGTCGTAAATGTCATAGAGCAAGGGTGTAAAATACTTTTAATGCATTGGACAATTTAGGCGCAGTTAATGAACTACACACATACACGCATACCACTGGCACATACCTACCAACAGGTATAAGCCACGGTCACGCGGAAGGTGTTAGGCAATGTAAATGACGGGATTGTGTCATTATTCATGTCATGACCAGCGAGTCACTTTCGTCAAACCATCTTACCCAGGCACACTAATTTTAGACAAGCCAAAGTTAGAATGTCACCACGAGAGTACCAAGGCGCAGGTGGTTAGATAAATTGATGGAATGATGCGTAGACAGACACCAAAAGTGCATAGAGTACGCAAAAAATACTTCGCATATAAAACATTGACCACAATGAAAAGCGTAATAAAATAATCACGATAGCATGTACAGAGCCGATAGCGTGACTCTAGCGAGTAGGTGGATAGAAAATCTCTCTTGCCGCGAAGTATTGGGGGGTATGTCACGCTCTCGTACACCTTGCAGTGAGAGACTGGGCACGCCTACCGTTTCATGTCCAATCTTCATCCCACCACTACCGGTACACATGCTTGATTTTTTTATTGATTGTGCAGCCCTGGTGGAAAACCGCGATGCAAGCTCCGCAAGGCCAATATGAAAGCTAGTTGTGAGCTGTCAACTCTTTTTTAATACGATGATGCCCTTAAACTCGAGTGTTTATGGAATGGGCAGGCAATATTTTCATCGCGCTATGTACAATTGTTATATAAAGTTTACAAAGCCTAAACATACGTTTGTTTGATGTCAAGTATATATTTCATTAAGAGACAAGTGGAACAGATTTCTGCGTCTGTTGTTGCAAGTGCTGATGTAAGAAGAATAGCTAGAGTCACTCTCCATCGTCGTAACACCTTTGGTAACCAAACGTGAATATGGCGCACACCATCTGCCGAAATTTCCACCACATGGGGTTCCATAACGTACATATGAGTCCAAGTTGCACAGGCCTCTGCCATTTCACCTCCATCGCAATATCGCCCTGCCGCCATGGTCAAGTAGCAAAGGTACTCAGCTGCTGACCCACAGGTCATGGGATCAAATCCCTGCTGCGGCGGCTGCATATCCAATGGAGGCGGAAATGTTGTAGGCCCGTGTGCTCAGATTTGGGTGCACGTTAAATACCCCACGTGGTCGAAATTTTCGGAGCCCTCAACTACGGCGTCTCTCATATTCATATGGTGGTTTTTGGACGTTACAATTCATATATCATCGTCATCCATTGCAGTTTGACTACCCCGATTGGGATCGAACCCGTAACCTTATGGTCAGCCGTATAGAGCTCCGTAATTACTGCTCCAACGCGGCGGTGCTTTAATTGGGCAATTAGACAGAAGACGAAAAACTGTGTGACTTACTACCTAAAATTGTCGACAACACGGATTTCCTTCAGATAGTTATAAAGTGCGTCCGTATGTTTTAAGCTGAGGTTTCGCTGAAGATGGCTACGGTAAGCTGTGTTTCTTTTATACAGCATTCTGGAAGCATCCATCTGCATAGCTGCTTAAGATAAAAGATCTCTGGAGACGTCGCTTTGATCTCTCGAATAAATGTGCAGAGAACTTTCCTATAAAATCAGGGTCTTTGTCTATCCACTTGCCTACAATGTTTGTCTTATCTCCCTTTGCAGATTTCCCTAGCGTAAAATGAAAACCACAATAATAAACTTTCGAATAATCTGATCATTTATTGCGTCCGAATATCACCACAGGCAACAGTAATCACGCTATAAGAGCTTTCTTTTCATTCAAAGCAAGTTCAGACATGAGATTGTTGATGTCTTTAAGGGAAGATCGAATGTGCTGGGCAATCATTTCTTCAGTTTTAGCCTTCAGAACACTCTTGAACATTGTCGTTGCGGCGTTTATAATGGCGTTAATCAGGAAGTCTCCATGCTTTACTGCTTCAAGTGTAACATCCAGTCCATCAAATTTCAATAGCTTAAAGCCAGCGAGTTGAAGTTCACCGGCTGGAGATCTGCAAAATACGGGTGAGACATTCAAATGCGCTTCATTATGACATGAACCTTGAGCACAACGTTCAACAATGTTCAACATTCAACACTCGAAAGTTTCCTATCTGCCATCCTTTACCATCACGTCTTATATTTTCCGGTGCTGGGAGTGAATTTAAGCAAGAAAAGGAAGAGGCGTATGTGAAATTCTGGTGCATAAGCACTCCTGAAAACTAGGCGACGTGCGGCGTACCAGTCACCCAGATATGCGGAATGGCCGTTGATAGCAGCATGTTGCAGGTGTCGTAACGGTCGGAGCAGATGGGGCCACATATGTCTGTCAATTGACGGCAGCCTTATTAAAATGACTGATGTCAGCCCGCATATCTCGACAATACAAGGTAGGCATGTGGAAACGTTTCCTTGTCTTTCTCGACTGTTGTTGAAGGCACAAGGATCGTTATATAGAACCCAGAATAGATTTCGTACGGCTGAATATTATAGAGAACTAACAGACAGTGATGTCAAAACACAAGTACACTCTTAAATAATGAAGTGACCCTCTCTTCATTTAGGGAAAAACGGTGATGCCCCAACGTTCATCTTTACATAGAGAAAATTTCCTCTCTTTTGCCAATAACTAACCATATCTCCATATCAAAATCAAGATGGCTAACCCCAGCTATGCGGTTTAGCGAAGTGAATAGGCCTAACGAGTGCATCAATTCTCAGCTGATAAGATGCACATGGCACTGACAATCACAAAAAACGGTCTCGAGGAGCTTGATATCGAACTAAATGACTCAATCAAGCCGACAAACCTGCTGTGATGAAAACAGCGCGAAACAGAATGACGGATCCCGTTTGTTTTGTTCAGCCAGCGAGATGGCGTTCACAGTGAAATAGACGGGTACTGCGGAGTTCTCATACGAAGGCTGCATGCTAGGCTACCTGTATTTATTTTTCGAAGATTGACGCAGTTAAGCGACGGTGTACATGCGTTAATGACGCAACAAGTCATGATATGTGCCTCCAAACCGTAGACTCGATCACAGCAAAACAATTGAGGCGCAGGAGTGCATAATTTCGATAGATAGATAGAGTTCAACGTTATACAAATTGCTAGAGAAGTGAGAGCACAACAGCCGTGCAGAAGGTGGTAGCTTGCGCCATCTCGAAAGACTGAACAAAAAAAACAAAAGAGCTGCCTACTGCAACGTCTGTTGACACATCCGCACGGGTTCTTCGCAGATTGTTCGCGAGTTATACCTTTCATGGATTACTCACTCACACCGGGCACCTGATGTATGCTAATGTTAGGCCTATATATACATATGCTCATTCAGACACATAAAACACATACACTCGCAATGAACAATTCATTCGTACGAATAGGGTACAGCTAATACTATTAACAGTTCGCCACAGCAGCGCACGCTCTGATTTACTCACACCCCAACTCGAAAACGCACGAGCTCATATAACCACTAAATTTGACTGACCATAGAGGCACAAGCGACAAGTAGTCGTTGGTAAACCTTTTTACGTTCAATGGCCGCAGCACAACATGCACACACACAAATATACTAAATCTCATCTTTATACAATCAGATGTTTATCAACAGTTGCACAATATTGAACGAGATAATTACTAGAGCTCACTAGATTTCTGCAAGAATAATGACCCAAACCGTGCATACAATGCCAACGGCATTTTGAAGCTTGTGCCATCTCTCGACAACTGTCAGAGATAATTTTTTTCCTTAAAGCCTTCGACATATCGAACGCTTGCCATGCGCTTGCCATTTCGGAGGTCATGTCCTTTTTATTATTCCACTTGGTGCTCGGAGAGGGCGCACCATGCAGGCCAGATTTTATGGTCGTCGTTGCGTTGACTTCATTGAGTTTTTTTGGCTGAAACGTTTGTTTACATTCTATTTAGGCGCTTACCACTTGTGTGACCTTTATATAAAAATACAGTACACTGCTAGTCTTTCTCGAAAAATATTTTTGACGCGGTAACGATTGTCTCAGTTGTGTATGCGTACGTTACAACGCGGGTAGTGTGACAGAAATAAGAGAACATAACGTCGGACGAGATGGGTTTTTTTCGTAAGCGATGCGGCGTACCACAGGGGGCACTGCTCTCACCGATGTTGTTTAAAATATTCCTCAGTTCGATTCCAACACATAGCGATATTCATTTATATATGTATGCAAATGACATTGCTTTCTTTGCGATAAACAGTTATCTGCAATCAACATATCCCTGATGAATGGCACAAAGCAGATTACCCAGGTGGATTCACCTGAATACTTAGGTGTCATATATTACAGCTCGTTAAATTGAAAAAGTCACATTGATCACATTGGGTCCAAGGCAACACAAGCCATGGAGTGGTTACGCAAGATGAGCATCAGAAAAACGGGGCTGCAGAGAAATACATTGGTAATGATCTATAAAATATACATGCGTCCTGTCATCGAATTTGGCGGTGTGTTAATTTTGGGCAGTGCGACCTATAAAAGGAGACTGCTAATACTATCAGAAAGGTAAGCTTTACGACTGTGCCTTGGACTGCCCAAGTTTGTTCCTAACAATGTGCAATACATGGAAGCGCGTCTACCATTATTGGTAAATGGATTCAAAATACTTACTATCCAAGCTTTTTAAAACTATACAGTTTGCCCCAGAGAGATTCGTATACTTTTTTTATTAAAAAGCCAAGCTTATTTTTTGAAACTCGGTGGTTGCGATTCTACTACCCACAGATCATGTTCGTTCAAGTGCTGCTAGAATCACTGTACGCCAAAATCAAACATATTGTCACGGGCTAAGTAGATGCCCGAGGATGACGACGACGAAGTGCTGAAGGTGAACGTTCTCGGACTGCAGCAGCGTTGTACGCATTTGCTCGCCAGTATATTCGCCAGTACGCATTTGCTCGCCAGTGTATACTTTATTCCCCGTAACATCATTGGTGGAAGGTGCGGGGTACCACTCGCTATACAGCCCAACGAGCTGGATCTTCGCAGCGGATGGCGCATTGCAGCTACCACGATGACTGACCAGGCTACTCAATGCCAACAAGATCCGTCAGCCCCGCAGCCGATCGTTGTGGTGCAAACTCGTGACCCAGGCCCATTCAACGGCACAAGTGGCATAGACCTCGATGACTGGCTGGTTCTATATGAGCGCGTCAGCAGCAGCAACCATTGGGATCCGACGCTTATGTTGGTGAACATCATCTTCTACTTGCATGGAACGGCAAAACTGTGGTACGAGACACATCAATAAGAGTTGACTAGCTGGGACGTCTGTAAGCAGAAATTGCGCTATCTATTTGGGAAACCCATCGGACGTCAAGTGGCCGCAAAGAAAGAGCTTGCGATTCGTGCCCAGACATCCACAGAGCCGTACATCACGTACACGCAGGACGTGTTGGCTTTGTGCCGCAAGGTCGACAAGGGCATGCTTGACGAGGACAAAGTCGGACACATCCTGAAAGGAATTGCCGATGACACCTTCAATTTTCTCCTGTGCAAGGACTGCTCGACGGTGGAGTCGGTCATCGAAGCATGTCGTCGCTTCGAACAGGGAAAAAGTAGGCGCATAGTTCACCGATTTGACTGCCTTCCCAACACGGCGGCTACGTCCTCTTGCGAAGATATACCCACACTACATCAACCACCAGCGCCGGAAAACGTCACCAGAATAGTCCGTCGGGAACTCGAGGCTATGGCATCCGCTATGTCTAGCGTCAGCGCGCCTGGACGCAACCTCGATGCTGTTTCAATGATACAGGCCGTGGTTCACCAAGAGATCGCGAATATGGGCATTTCGTCCCCTCATCAAAATGCCCCTGCTACTTCCAGCTCGGTTCTAGTCGTTGCGGCTGCCACTTCGAACCACACTTTCGCGCCACGAAGAAACCCAGCTGAATGGCGCACTCATGATGATCGGCCCATATGTTTCACGTGCCATCGAATAGGACACATCGCTCGCCATTGCTGCCGCCGTTGGACCACATCACCTCGACCAAGCTTCTATGATTGGGGGCCTCGCTCTGAACGTGCACCTTATGCCCCGTCCTACCGTGCTGAGACAGGTGCAGAGCATAAACCAGAACGTCGGACCAGCTGCTCGCCATCGCCCGTGCGTCGTCAGTCCCGCTCACCCCAACTCCGCCGTTCTCGGTCTCCCTACAACCGTCGCTCGGAAAACTAGCCGGTGCAGCCCCCGGAGGTGACGCTGCATACACGACTCGGACTGCAAATCCTCTGATTACTCCCGACCAGTGGTGCAACCTTCTTACAATTCTCGTGATGGTTTACCTGTAACTGCTCTTATTGATACCGGTGCACAAATATCTGTGATGAGCTCAGACCTCCACCGCCACCTCCAAAAAGTTGTGACGCCTGCGATTGCACCTACCGTTCGTGCAGCGGATGGAAGTACTCCTGCTGTGCTTGGAATGTGCACTGCGCGATTAACGACTTCTGAGCATCAAACTTCAGTTCTGTTCACTGTACTGGAAAATTGCCCTCATGACCTCATCCTTGGACTCGACTTTCTGACTTCACACGCTGCGCTCATTGACTGTTCCAAAGGTCTTCTTCGGCTCGAACTACCAACCTTCTCAGAGACCGTCTCTACCAGCCCACCTCGTCTACGCTCTGTCGCTTTCCTCAGACGTCCGCCTCAAGCCGCAGTCCAAGTCCAACTCTCGCCATATCCTCCAGTACCCGATGGTGATTATGTTGCTGCCCCAATTTCTGACGTGGCCATGACACGTAATGTTGCACTCCCCAACACGATGATTACCGTTAAGGACAACCGATCTTCATTTCCCGTCCTCAATTTTGGCTTCTCAGCACAAGTTACTCCTCGCGGCATGTCACTTTGGCATCTGACACCACTGGTCGACCACACAGTTTCCGCCTTAACCACCGATTTGCCACCCAATTTTTCATCAACGTCACTCTCGTCACGTTCCTGTTCCGACCTTTTCAAGCCAATGCT